AAGTTTGCTGAGAACTACAGGTTATACTCAAGAAGTCACTTTGTGAAGGGACTAGAGCTGCTTCTGTTGCTGATAGTTTATCAAGTCTATGGCCATTCATACAGGAGTTCAAACCTTTATCTGTACATAACAGTCTCCATGTGGTTTATGGTTGGCTCTTGGTTGTTTGCACCATTCATCTTCAATCCTTCAGGGTTTGAGTGGCAAAAGACCGTTGATGATTGGACTGATTGGAAACGGTGGTTGAATGATCGAGGTGGTATAGGTATACCAGTTGATAAAAGCTGGGAATCTTGGTGGAGTGTTGAGCAAGAATATCTCAAACATACTAATATTAGAGGGAGGATCTTGGAGATCACACTTGCTCTTCGCTTCTTTATTTATCAGTATGGTATTGTATACCAGCTCAATATCTCTCAGAGTAGCAAGAGCTTCTTGGTAATAAAAGAGTTCATCACATTTCATTTGCATCTTTCAGTTTGGCCTGTGACCTAATTTATTTCCTCTTTGTTAGGTTTATGGACTCTCTTGGGTGGTTTTGCTCACATCATTACTTGTTCTAAAGGTTTCACATATCCTTCCTGGTTTTATTTAATATCATGTATTATGCTTATGCTTAACTTGCTTTACTTTGATCATCAGATGGTATCTATGGGAAGAAGAAAATTTGGAACAGACTTTCAGCTAATGTTCAGGATTCTTAAGGCACTTCTCTTCCTAGGGTTCTTGTCAGTCATGACAGTGTTATTTGTTGTGTGTGAACTCACACTCACTGACCTCTCTGCTTCCATTCTTGCTTTTCTTCCAACCGGTTGGGCCATCCTTCTGGTAATAGATTCATCAAAACCCTAGTTCAGAAATCATTATACCAACACTAGAGTCATGTTGTTGATTGTTGTTGCTGTTTCTTTCTCAGATTGGGCAAGTACTGAGGTCACCTATCAAAGCTTTGGGGATTTGGGACTCGGTGAAGGAGCTGGGAAGAGCGTATGAGAAGATAATGGGACTTGTCATCTTTGCACCTATCGCTGTTCTGTCTTGGTTCCCCATAGTTTCTGAGTTCCAAGCTCGTCTTCTTTTCAACCAAGCTTTTAGCAGAGGCCTTCAAATCTCTATGATCCTCGCTGGTCGGAAAGACAAAGCAGCTTCTTCCTACAAGTAACCACAAAAACTACTCTGTTCCTGTCTCTGTTTTTAGGTTTCTTGAGTCTAAAGCAACAACAACAAAACGGTAGCGTTTATGTATAATTCAGTAGCTGTCTATAATAGGGTTTCGTTGGGCTTGGACACCTCGGTCTCATCATCACTCATGTGTTGTACTTATCACCATGATTTTGACATATGATCTTTAATATTATAGCAATGTTGATTTCTTCAGGTTCTTGATTAGTATTTTCTTACAATAATTGCGGTGGAAAGTCGATGAAAAAAATAATGAATTGAACCTTAAATTCTTGGATGCATATCATGAAAACTCGACAATTATTTCTGACTTGTTTTGGGATGATTAATTATAGTAGTAATATTATATCTTACTAGGTATTTCAAGATACACCAATTAAATGTACTTGTGACATATGATGAAACTTCAATTTCTTTATCATTTGGCTTTTTCTTGCATGTGACAAAGACTTTATTGTATAGGAGATAAAAACAAAATACTAATAATGTGAATACATACCCGGATTAAATGGGATGGGAGGTACATAATATATCAATTCCACTAAAAATTTAAAAAAATACTAGATCTCCACCCGCACAACTCCGCACAACTGTACGGTTTTTTTTTTTTTTCGATACTAAAATATTTTAGTTTATATAACAAAATTTAGCAATAACTTTATGTAATTTAGTAATATATATTATGTAATTGCATATTAGCTATGTTTACGTGGCTTACATATTATTATTATTATAATTTTGTATTTTGTAACAAAAATTATTTTGAAAAATTCTTATCTAAAATACTATTTTACACATTTTCGAATTTAAAATTTATCTGGAAGCTAATTAGATTTGACCTACATAGTAGAGAAGAATTGTTTTGAGATGTTGGTAAAAAATATAATTTGTTTTTAGGGAAAATTGACAAAAAAACAATGAAGTTTCGAATTTAAGCCAGAAAAATCACGAATTCATAAATAAGCCATTTTATACATCAACTATTGGTCAACACACAAAAAATCATCTATTATCGTTAACCAAGCCATTTTAGACATGTTGAAAGTCAAACCGTTAGTTCCGTTAATGAATAGTTAACGTTGACTTTTGGTGTGTCTAAATTGGTTTGATCAACGAAAGTATGAGATTTTATTGGTTCTAGTTTAAAAGTTAAAGATTAAAAGGACTTACTAAAGTTTGAAAAATTTATAATTTAAAAAAAAAAATTATTAAATACAAATTATTTTTGATTTTGATAATATGCAATATACTATATATCAATGATTTTGATAAATAAATTTACTTTTGTTCTTATGTAGTAGTCTCATCTTAATTCTTCTATTAAATTTAATGTTAAGTAAATTAAACAGAAGGTTATAAGTGATCAATCTAAAATAAGATTATATTTACAAAAAAGTAATAGTTATTCTAAACATGTGGTCATGTTTGTGTTGTGATTGTTCTTAAATAATCCATCTAATTAGTTGATTTCATTTGGTTGTATGTGATTGTTCTTAAGATAATCCATCTAATTAGTTGATTTCATCTGGTTGTGGCTAATTCACAAATTTTATCTTATAGCTCTGTGTTCATCATCCTAAGAAGATCATTATGAGTTCTTTTAGCGTTGAAATCAAGGTTTACAATTTCACGAAAATCACCCTCTTTCAAGTTCTCATTTCTTCACTTGTCAATTGACACACAAGTCTTAATTATTTTGGACTGATCACTTATAACTTTCTAATCAATTATTTAACCTTAACATGCCCCTACTACATAAAATCAAAAGTGAATTTGTTTAAGATAATCCATCAAACATTCCATTTATTTTGGACTGATCACTTATAACCTTCTTTTTAGTTTATTTAACCTTAAACATTAATAGAATAATTTAAGATGAGACGGTTACATAAGATAAAAATGAATTTATTTATCAAATTCATTGATATATATATATATAGCATATTGCATATTATCAAAATAAAATAAAAATATTTAAGAAATTATTTTTAAAAATTTATAAATTTTATAAATTTTGGTACCCTTTTAATCTTTAACTTTTAAACCGAAACCAATAAAATCTCATACTTTCATTGACCAAGTCATTTTGAACACGCCAAAAGTCAACATTAACTATTCATTGACGAAGTTAACGGTTTGACTTTCAACATGTATAAAATGGCTTGGTCAACGATAATAGATAATTTTTTCGTGTTTGACTAAAGTTGATGTATAAAATGGCTTATTTGAAAATTCATGGTTTTTTGACTTAAATTCAAAAATTCTTGATTTTTTTTGTCAATTTTTCCTTTGTTTTTAAAGAGAAACTGTAATACATTGTACTTCAAAATAATTTTGTAGTTAATATTACATTTAACAAATACACGTTGCTGATAAAAGGAAACAAAATACACTACGTTGGATAAAATATATTCTTTTAATTTGAAATAGAAATGAATCTTTTTAACAAAATATTTGTAAAGTACATTTAAAAAAATTAGTTTGAATTTTTTAATCATTAAATTTGTAATTAAAATATTTTATATATTTTAAAAATTTTGTATATAATTCAAAACTAAATTAAATTTAATTTCTAATTAGAGTTTATGAGAACTTATTTTAAAATTAAGTACGTATTGAAAATAAATTTTAAATTTATTCTGTAATGATTTTTAAAAAATTTTGTTAGAATTTTCTTAAAAATATTTATTTTATGCAAATAAAATAGAAAATATTATAAATATTATAAGTGATTCATGTAAAATTTGATAAAATTTTATAGAATAAAAATCATGCATTAAAAATTCATCACTACAGTATATATATATATATATATATATATATATATATTAAAAGCAATTTATTATAAAACCAGTATATGGTTGAATCTATAGTATCTTATTTTAAAATATTATATATTTATCAATACATGTTTGTTAACACAATATCTATATAAATATTGATACATGTGTAATTTATAATATAATTAATATTAATAATATTTATTATGAAAATAAAATAGCGTTAGGATTTTTAATATTTTATTTTATTTTATTATTTTCATGGTAAAATTATAACATTATTGTATTTATTTTTTTGATAATCAAATTTGTATGTGTAATTAATATTATTAATACATGCAATCACCACCCGATCTTTTTCTTTATTTTGATCTCCATATCACGAATCATTTTCTGATAGTCATCCACCATTTCACTATTCCAGCTCAAACGCGTTTGACCCTATAATTCTAAACGAATGTATGATGGAAAGGATAAATCAATTTTAATGACATATATAACTAAATCAATCCTCTTAAAATTTTCTATATACTACAAATTGGGATGTTACAAAAAAAATCTCAAAACGTAGAATGTGGTTATAGAGTTTTATTTTTTTCATTTCAAACATTTTTAACTGGAGTCAAGTTCATAAAAATAAAACCTAAGTTTAGAAATATTTAAATACAGAATCCAAACGTATTATATCAGATTTTTTTTTAAATATCTTAATAGAAATTTGTTTCGAAATTTATAGCCAAACAAGAAGTCATTCAACTTAGTATATGAGAAGACAAGGACCTAAAATTCCAATTTCAAAGCATGAACTGAATATGTGAACAGTTAATCTCTATTCAATTAGGGTTTTTATCCATTTTTCTTTATTTTATTACCAATAAAAGTATTTTCAGTAATCAAAATTACAATAATAAATAATTATTGTTCATCCAGAGCTATAAATGATCACAGTTGTCAAAGATATCTTCTTTGCTTTCCCTTCACTGCTCTCTCACTCTCTCTCTCTCTCTCTTCTTCTTCTTCTTTTTCTTTTTTTTTTTTACTTCTTTCAAATTGCAAACAAAATCAAAACTCTCTTTCCAGCTTAAGGAAGAGACTCACCAACAATCTCACCAAAAACTTCTTTTAAATCTTTACTAATCTACAAACCCTACATTCATCCTATGTATCTTATATACCCAATAAAGTTTCTATCTTTCTTCTAATTTAGCTTAAATCCAGTTTACTTTCTGGGTTTATTTGACTCGAAAGCTCAAAGCTTTACAGAAACGCCAATTCCAATTTCATCATCATTAGCCCTATTGCTCTAATCTATCTTTCTTTACTTCAACTTTCTCATTTGGGTTTGCTTCAGAATCAAAGAAAGGCGCAACCTTTATCCTTTTATCTTCGTTTTCTTCTTCTCTAAGCAGATGATTACTCGAAAGGGCTAAGAGGGCTTAGTCTCTCTACCTTCTTAGGTAAAAGAAAAGATTCTCTTTTTGGATTTGATTCCTCTGTGTAAAATATCTCTTGCTTCAATCGTAAGTGATTCGATTTGGTCATAAATGTTTAGAAATTTAATGCATATAAACTGTTTGTTGAAATGCCGCAGTTAATTATTGCGTGTGCACTTTGAAGTGTTTGTACAGAGTTTCGTGAGTCAACAGCTTTACTTGCCATTATTAGATTCTTTCATTTGTTCATGTATCTCAGTTTTTCAGATTGCGTTTGGGAAGAAACAAAAGAAGTTAATTTTCGTTTGCTTGTAAGATTTGTGATAGTTAGAGATGTCTTATAAGTCTTCTTGATGTACCCTTTTCTTGTTTTGCAGGTGGGATTTTGAGAAAAGGGACTAAAGATGCCATCTGAGAATCCTTTAAGTGCTGAGATGTCGAAGAAGGTTTCTTTATTTGGTTTAACTGATGTGAAGTTGTGGGTGTTGGTTTGTTTGGTAGTTGGAGCATTCTTAGCTTTGGTTCTATTTATCTTATCTATATGGATTGCATTCCGTCGGAAATCACGGAGACCATCTCACAAGATGTTACCTTTCAGTCAAATACCACGCGTGGCGAAAGATATCAGGGTTGATGATAGAGTTGGGTTTCAAAACCGCAATGAAAATCTATGTGTCACAGGTGCTGATAAATCGAGTGATAGAAACTCAGGGAAGATGATGTCTTACTTGGGGAGAACCAAGTCTAGTGATAATGATAGTATAAGTCAGTGTAGCTCTGTGCATCATCATGAGAGAACTTGCAGTTCTCACTCCGGTGAAGAAGGAAGCTTTGGAGCTGCTTGGAGACAAGCTTCCCTTGCCCAGGGCGGACTTGTAACAGCATCTCCTTTGGTTGGTTTGCCGGAAATATCTCATCTTGGTTGGGGACATTGGTTTACTCTTAGGGATCTTCAGTTAGCCACCAATCGTTTTGCTCCAGAGAATGTAATCGGTGAGGGTGGTTATGGAGTAGTTTATAAGGGTAGACTCATCAATGGTAATGATGTTGCTGTAAAGAAGCTTCTGAACAACCTGTAAGTTCTTGTTGGAACAATTGTTAGCCGTGTGTCCTGTGTCCTTTTACACTCTTAGTAACCCTTTCGAAATTTTGTTGTCTTTAGGGGACAAGCTGAGAAAGAATTCAGGGTTGAAGTTGAGGCTATTGGTCATGTACGGCACAAGAATCTTGTAAGGCTTCTAGGATATTGCATAGAGGGTGTTCATAGGTGAGTCTCTCTTGACTCTCTTGTCAGTGAATATGCTACTTATTTAGTCTCATCAGTAATCTCATGTAGAAACTATCCCCATGAATTTACTTCTATTTTGGTGTAATGCAGGATGCTTGTTTATGAGTATGTCAATAGTGGCAACTTAGAACAGTGGCTGCATGGAGACATGGGGAAACATAACACTCTCACATGGGAATCACGCATGAAGATCCTTATCGGTACTGCACAAGCGTAAGTTGTTTATAAGATTGACTATTGTAGGAACTCTGAGTTGACAATTAAATATAAATATTGACATTTGCTATGTGCTACAATTCACAGGCTTGCTTATTTGCATGAAGCAATAGAACCAAAAGTAATCCACAGAGACATTAAAGCAAGCAATATCCTGATTGATAATGACTTCAACGCAAAGCTTTCCGATTTTGGGTTAGCCAAGCTCTTAGAATCGGGTGAGAGTCACATCAATACCAGAGTGATGGGCACCTTTGGGTAAGCCTACAATCTGTACCCTTCTTTGGCATTGATTGGTTTGTTGTCTTCGTGTTATGAAAAGGTCATATGTGTGTATGTGTATCAGGTATGTAGCACCTGAATATGCTAATACAGGTCTATTAAACGAGAAGAGTGACGTCTATAGCTTTGGTGTCCTGCTTCTGGAAGCTATAACTGGAAGAGATCCAGTTGACTATGAACGTCCAGCTAATGAGGTAGACTAATATAAAGTTCAAGAGTATATTGTTTTTTTTTTTGAAATCTTGTTTGGGTGCTGAAACATATGTTCTCGTTGGCTAGGTGAATCTGGTTGAATGGCTTAAGATGATGGTTGGAACAGGAAGAGCTGAAGAAGTTGCTGATCCGAGGATTGAGCCTAAACCTGCTACACGTGCACTCAAACGTGGACTTCTTGTTGCACTGAGATGTGTAGATCCTGAGTCAGAGAAACGGCCCAAGATGAGCCAGGTTGTGCGGATGCTTGAATCAGATGACAACCCTTTTCGTGATGTATGTTAAATCCACCAAGTTTAGATGAATTCCGTGGGAAATACTTATACTTCGTTACTGTGATTATTTGATGGTAGAAATGTTATATAGTAGTATTTTGTTTTTGCAGGAGCGGAGGAGTAGAAAGAGTAGAACAGCGAGTATGGAGATAGTCGAGGCCACAGAGGAATCAGCTGAGACTAGCAAACGGCCTGGTCACTCACAGAACCACACAACAAAGCCTGAAAAGACACATGAATAGGAAACATGCTAAGTAACTTCACGTCACCACCAAATGTTCTACTTATGGATGAGGCATGAGTTTCTTCGTGCTTGTGGAGAAATACAGAAGAGCTGTTTCAGGTGTTTCTTAACATCCGGCGAGTAACTGATGATGCAATCTTAGGAGCCAAATATCTTTTGATGATAGAGAGGCCTTTTGTCTCTCTTGATCTTTGTGAATCTTGGTTCTTCTAAAACTCTGAGTCATGGCTGTTAGGATGTCAAACATAAGCCGTAGCCGATTTGTTGTTGTATTATAAATTGAATCTGTTTGTCACCTTCTCTCTTTGATTGAGACGTGTTTATAGTCAAGTTGAGATGTATCTTATAGAACGTTCACATCGGAGAAAAACTGTTACGGAAAAAGGTCCCAAATAATGCATAGTAACCCAGAACTTATGGGAATCATTACCAGGGCCCCAGGGATTCTAAAAAGTTGCACAAATCTAGAAACTCTCGTGTTCCCAGTATGATGAAACAAGCTGTTTAAAGTATCATGTAACACAAACACAATTGTTAATGCAACTAAACTTTATAACCTTTTCCTCAGGGACTCCTCCACAAAGCTATGAAGAGATGTGGAGACGTGATTTGTAAGTCTTGGGAAGATGCTAAAGATATATATATCAATGATGACAACATCGAGAAACCATATAGAGCATGTCAACGACTTTTTAGAGACAATGCCACATCCTGAATCACCGATTTTATACTATGATTTATCTTTTGAAGATGTGAAAGTATCCAACTCAGTTTCGAATGCTTACTAGAGTAGCTTCACCAAAGTGGTGTCCTGAAATCTGGGGGATCAATTATGCATACATATTAGGCACTCACTAAAATTATGGGGCCAAATGTTTCGTCTCAGCTATGCCGAAGACTAGTCTTGAGTGCATGACCAGCTCTGAAATTTTGAAATTACAAACGATTTAGTAAGGGTTTTAACAATTTTTTCTAATAAAAATTGAGAGCATATATGTATGTAATTTTCTTATATTTATCTATGCTTAGAGCGGTCTTGCTTGAGTGGGTAAAACAAAATCCAGACCTAAACCTTAACTTATCATTTCGTAATGTACATGGGACAAGAGACAAAAGAGTATGTTAGATGTACCGGTAATACTTATAGCTTGCCAGTTTCCTGGCACTTGTCACTACGGCCAGGGGCGGATCCACCCTTAGAGAGGGTGGGGGAGGTGCCACATAAGAAGATACAATATTTTGTTGAAGCTAAGATACATATAAAAGCTGTCAGCATTATGGTTTAGAAGACTAATGAGGTACTCCATACAACCAAGGTTCAAATCCAGTGAACGTTTTTTCCTTTTAAACTTTAGTTGATTTATTATATTTTAGTCAGATTTTTTTATAAAATCAGTTTTTCTTTCTTCTTTTTTTTGCTATCTAATGGGAAAAAATGGTTTTTCCTTTATTTTAATATTATTAAGTTTAGTTTAACAACTATTTTTACCAATTGTATTTTTAATTTTTACCAATTGTATTTTTAATATTTATATTAAAGTAACCAATAAAAACTATTTAACATAACAAAAACTTACTTTATCTTATTAATATGTTTTTTTTTAATAATTCTTTTTTAAAATATTCTTTAAAATTTCTAACTTAAATAATAATTGATTTTTAATATATATAATTAAGTTTGTTAAATATATATATATATATATATATATATATATTATGATAAGATTTATAAATATATATTGTGCCACATGTTATATTATTTTCTGGGTCCGCCCATGACTATGGCCACATATAAATGCAATCTCCAAAGCAATACGTTATCCTGAAACAAACATTTAGTTTTGGTAAGTTTCAGTATAACATGATTTAATCACTAACCTAGACCAATAAAACAATACAGCAAATCTTCACAAAAGTCCACTACCACTTGATTTTTGGTGGACAATGACTTGCTTAATTATTAAGCACAGGAACGACTCTACTGTTAAATAATTACATTAAAATAAATTAATCTTAGTGAATTAGTATCTGACTCAAGGGTACATTCACATGGTAAAGAGGTCAATGTGGCCATAACTAGTTTCTCTACTGACTAGAAAGGTTTTAGTGAAAACATCGTTGCCACCAGACCAACATTATATTTTATATACTCTATTATATTATAAATATATACGATATTACAATAAATTTTTGTAAACTTAACACTTTATTAACTCGAATTCTTGGTAAATTGATGAATATGTAATTAGAGTGTAACTAGACTATTTAAATTAACATGTTAGCCAATATATTTATATATATATATATATATATATATATATATATATATATATATATATATATATATATATATATTTCATTCACATATTAAAGAGATATCAAAGACGAAGCGAAACCAAATCGAAATCTTATAAATATCTATTGGATATAAAAATGATTTATCTAATAAATCTGGAACCGAATAGTTCCTACCAAAAACCGAACCGAATAACCCAATGCCCTGGTAATGCTAACTCTTTATTCATGTTAAAGAAAAAACTGTATTCATGTTATCTTATATCCTGAATCGAGTAGTTCTTACAAAAAACTGAACCAAATACTCGAATGTCCTGGTACATGTTAAAAAAAATTATTCATCTAATCTATTAAAATAGATTTTTATTTTTTTATCTACCTACAAATAGTCTAGATTTATCCATTTAGTTTATTTAATTTTTAGTATTTTGTATATAACAAACTTATTTATTATTAGATATACAATCTTAATGTATTGTTTAAATATTTTCAAAATAAGATATCAAAAGATATTACAAATATCTGTCCTACTATTGTATTTTGACAATATCTTTTAATATCTTTTTATTTTAAAAATATATATCTTTAATGTTTTAATATTTATTTAAATAATGAAATTCGAAATTATTTTTAAATTTTATTACAAATAAAAACAAATTCATTTTGATTTATAAAATAAGAAATATCATTCTATAATATTTATATATAAATAATTCATATTCATTATTACATTAAATAATATATGTAATATAAATTAATTACAACTATTTTATAAATTATAAATTTAAATAATTGCATATGCATGATAACATATTTTAGTTTACAACATACTTCAATTTATTAATACAAAATATTAAAATAATATATTTAAAAGCATAGATAATTTTTATATTTATATAATAACTAAATTATCACATTAACATATAATTAATATATTTGAATTTAAAATAAAATATTAATTTAGTGGATAGTAATATTATTTGATTATATAGTATATTGAATTATATTTTATGATTTACAATTACAGTTTTTTTGCAGCTTATTTCATAAAAATGTAAATATTTATCAAGTATGAAACCGGTTAAACACCATAATTAATTTATATTATAATAAATATTTATTTAATATTGTAATAAATAAATTCGACAAATATAAGCATTTTAAAATATATATTTTAAGTATGGATCATGTTAGAATAAAACACACTGGTTCTGGTTTTAATTTAATCACATCTGAAAATCTATAAAGTAATTATATATTGTTCAGTTTTGGATTATATTAGTTTGGTTTAAATATATCTGAAATTAAATTCAAATTTAAAAGCAAAACATAAGAAGTAAATACTTATTTATATAGAATTAGATATTTAAAACTTTAATTTAAATTAAAATACTTATTCAAAATACTATTTCAAAATAAATATAGAATTAAATATTTGAAATTCATATTTATGTTTCAAATATTTATACATATGATTAATATGAACATTGGGATTGGTTTTTAAACTTTTTTAGTTTTCAATTTTTTGGATTATCCGTTGAAGTTTGATGAATAACACTTTGGGGTTTGATACGTTTTGTATCATTCTAAGTGATCCATTCTGATATTTCTTACATTTTAAATCTGGTACGAATCAAATTTTTAGTTTGGATTCAATTCAAGCTTTGCATTATAGATTTCATACTCAAACCTACTTTAAATAAACAAAATATGTTTATATACAATTTTCCTCAAAAATTTATTCCACGCTTTTCTACATCTCATACTAATGATGAAGTAAAGGTTGATTTGCATATTTACTGCTTATTTAATCCTGACACCGTAATTGACCTTCGGAGATCTACAATATCATGAGTCACTAATCTCTTTAATTTTTCAAAAACTTTAAATGGTCAGAAGTATCTCACTGAATCATCCGTCTAACTAAAAACAACTTGTGGAAGCACCGTAACCTATTGGTTAAGGTTTAAAGGCTTCTACATCAGATATGGGGTTCGATTCTCAGACTATGCAGTTTCTACACCAAGAAGGTTTAATTCCCGGAGAAGGTGAATGGCGATTTATGCAGATTGAAGAAAAGGTTTACAAGAGATCTTTAGTATGGCGCAAGGCGTACCGTTAAGAATGGATATCATAGGGCGGCTCAGGATGATGCAGTCAGACGTGAATCCGCATAAGACAGGTAGAATTGTCGGCTATAATATCGTCTATGTAATATTTCTCATAATTTGTAATGCATAATTAACCAATGTCAAAAAAAAACTAAAAACAACTTCATAACTACTATCTAAATAATTAAGTATTGAAATTTAAATAAAAAGACACAAATTAAATTAGATATGGTTTTATAATTAGCATTTTTAGAATCACTACTAAATAACATGTGTCATTTTGTGATAGGTAGTAACTTCAAAAAAAAAGTTAAACTTCTTTTGGCACATGGTGATGATAACTAGGGGTGGAACGAACCCGGATATGCGGAAAATTTGAAGTATCTAGATTCGGATTCATCGGATCTGTGATTTTAGTATCCGGTTCCGAATTCGTGTCTTCCGGATATCCAGACTTTGGATATATGTCTAGATATTGTGATATCCGTAGCTATCCAGATTCGCATCCGTAAAAATAATTAAAAAAAAAATCAAAAATTCTAAAAATAATACATAAACTAAATATTTATGCATAATTTATGAATATATATATGACATATAATATTATTAATATAAAATTAGAATATCATTAAACTTATTTTATGTATAAATATTAATATATCAGATATAATTAATAATAAAATAAAAATTAATATAGTTTTAAAAATATGGATCCGAATCTGGATATCCAGATCTAAAAGTTAAGATATCCGGATCCGGATTCGGTTTGCATGGATCCAAAATTTTTCATCAGGATTTGGATCCGGTCATCCTCGCATATCCTAATTTCAAAGCGGATCTGAGATCGAATCCGGATTCCAGATAAAAATCCCAGCCCTAATGATAACTGAGATGCAAATGTTGTGATTGTGTACTCTTATGTTGTGATTAATGTTGTTAAATTGCATGATTGAATCGTTTGGGTTTGTTTCTCAATGTTTTTGTAGTTGGGCTAAGAAAAGAATTTGAGAATTCTGTTGTGTATGGTAAGATTGTTTATCTTTTTCTCTTGCAATTTGAACTTGACTTCGTGATCTCAACATACATGAACAATTAAAAAATGATTTGATTAACTATATATGACGTAAATTTGGTACAAGGAAAAATAACTATTAATCGTTTAGTTTTATTTATGATTTTTCAATCTACATTATATGTTCTTATGTCAATTTAATTTAAATTTTATATAATTCAGTAATTATAAGTTTTTTTTATTATAGAGTGTGATGCAACTAATCTAATTATAATTTTTCAAATTTTTTAAAATTTGGAACTTTTACTTGGTTCTATCATTGGAGAAATTAAAACTAGACAAGTATCTAAATTTTTTAATTTGATTATTTTCAATTAAAAGTTGATTTAGAGCCCTAATGGAAAATCTATTGTTGGAGATGGGGTTAATTTACGTACTCACTTCCACGTAAACAAAAATTAAAATTAGTTATGATAATTGAAGTATGAAGGTGCGTAAGGGATGATTAAGAGAATTTTCAGATTACCAACCAAAAAAATGCTGTCGATAAATATCATAATATTCTTTATAAAATTGCTAACCTGGAGCTAATAGTCTTAAAATACAATTTGCAAATAGCCTCTCAAAACCCATCACCGAATCCAGAAACAATATGTATATACCACTTAACTAACTAAGATTATGCTTTATATCTCAAACTTAAAATATAAAATACTCTGATTATAAAAAAAGTTGGACATTCTGCGTATCATTATTATTTGGTTACCAACAGCTATAAACTATATTCTAACTAAACATAATTTGGATAACCAAACTGGTGGAACAGAATCAACATAATTCATAGTAAAAAACAATTTTCTAATACTACATTTAAATTATTAGATTTAAAAGTATTTTAAATCTATACTGTTGGAGCGGATGTAAGCGTGAGGATAAACTCGATATCAAGATTGCATTTAGGGATGACCCCATGGTATGGTACACTTTTTAAGATTCCGAAATTTTACTTTTTGTAGGATACGTATGCAATATTTATAAAGTAAAATGGAAATCTAATTTTGAAATTAATATAAATATGAATTAAGTGATTGTAAAGTTATTCATTCACATAATAATATAAAAATCTTAAATAGATATTTGTTTTAATACATTTTTACTTTACTTATTTTCTTCGTGTTTTGATTCATGTTTGCTCATAATTTAAATTTACTAGCTATTGCCATTGCACTTTTTGTGTATTCGAGAAGATATGTCAAGCATGTACCACTAGATTAATACTAAATAATAATTTTTGAGAATGCATACTATTCATAAAATTTAGTGTATTAATAAATTAATCAAAATAGTTAACATATTTTGTAATTCTCGGAATATTGTCTAAACTAAATGCCATACTGGATTACATTCCAAATGCTACTCCCTCCGTTTCATATTTATAAGTTTCACAATAGAGAAATTTTTTCGTTACAAAAATAAAAATCGTTTTCAATTTTCAATATAAAATTTATTATTTTTATTATATAATTTATTTTTCTATTGGTTGAAATATAGTTTAGATGTATAATTAATTGTGTTTTATATAAAAATATGTAAAACTAATTATTTGTTAATCTGTGTGCACATAAAATGACACTTATAATAAAACATATAATCTTACTTAAGAAAATTATAAAATTTTATGTTGACTTTTTAAAAATAGTCAAAATGAATTCAGACCCTTATTTTGTGCTCTTTTTTTTTTAATTTAATATAAAAATTGCAATATATAGTTCTGGTAGGAAACTAAATGTTGGCTTAAGTTTGGTCCTGTTTTATAATGAATTAAATTATTCATATTGCTGTCCGATTAGTTTAGAATATTGGTTAACCACAAACATGCTCATATAAGATGAGAGTAATAATTCAAATCATTGTATTTTAAATGATGTATTAGCTGTATCAACGGACGTTAAGGCGGCTAGTCTTCCGTTTAGAGTGATGAACTACTATATATAGATACCATCATACCACCATCCCCGGCCTTATGGTGAGTCGAGATCAAGTCACCAAGAACAAGCACAATAAGAGACACACTAACGAGAGAGAGAGACGACATCAGAGAGAAAGAGATGGCAAAGAAACTGATGATAGCACTCGCATTCACTCTTATAATTCTCTTCGCTGTGCTCACTGCAATAATAGGTATAGTATATTAGTTGATTGCTATCTCTATATAGTTTTTTGTTGTGCACAGTTAATAATTTTTAACTTTTGAAACTATTTTCGGTCTGTATTTTTATACTGTTGAATTTTCGATGTCCAAACATGGGGTTGGGGTGTATTCAGTCTACAATATCTGAATTGACTGATTTTAGATGATTTTAAGTGAGCTGAAATTAACTATGATTTTTGTTAATAATCTCATTTAAAACTATGAGATTTGATTTTTATTTTTTTTCAACTAAAAAATTCTTCAAAACACTTTTAAATGATTAGAAGTATTTTGAAATCTACAATTTAAAATTACTTTTAATATCAAAAGGTTTTAAAGTAATTTTTTTTAACCTGTGTGCTACAGGAGATTTTAAATAATTTATCAAGTTATAAGTTTAATATTAATATAAAATAAAATAAAAAGAAAACAAAAAAAAAAAAATCAGCATATTAGTGGTCACTTCGACGTTCTGTTTGGAGTCAATTTTTTTTAAAAAAATTATGTATCTCGTGACGTCTCTCTTTTTTCAGATTCATAATAACTCACGTTTTTTCCGTTTCTAATTTTTCTTCTTCTAGGTGTTCATTTCCGAACGTCAAGGTATGCTCTCTTAACTCCTATGTTTTCACACTCAATATCGGATTGTACAAACCTATATTGAAATTCAGTTTTTAAATAGACAATAGATAATAGTTATGTTGTATCTCGTAAATCGTAATACTTTATCTTTCATTTTTTGTTTCTATTTCAAGAGGCAGATGTTCCAAACATTATTTTTCTTTTCCTTTTCGTATATAAGCCACGGTTGAACTTGATTATATATATATATATATATGAATCATTGATTATATATATATATGAATCATTATTACAGAAACAAGTTAGGCATCGCAACGCCGGAACAAAAGCTCGCATCTGGTCGCCTTACGCTTAAGAAAGTTGGTCCTAACCAAGTACGAAGTTTCTATATATGAATCATTGTTTATTTTTATGCTACTACAAGATTGTATTCTTTCCATATACTAGAATGTTTCAATTCAAAATATTGCTGTTAATGAGATTATAAATTATAGTGTTTATTTTGTCTAATATTTAAGGTGGTCGTTGATAACGGTATCATCCAAGTTACTTTCTCAAGTCCACAAGGCTTGATAACTGGAATCAAGTACAAGGGCTTTGACAATGTGTTGAACAACAAAATTGAAAATCGCGGGTACAGTACCTTTATTTAAGTTAATTTATATAGCTTTTAAAAATGTTTAGCATGATATATATATATATATATATATATGTGTCATTATATCCAGGTACTGGGACGTAATGTGGTATGAACCAGGACAAAAACAACTAATCGATCTGTGAGTTGTCGAATCTCTCTTCATATCTTTTTATTAATATATATTTCATTTTCACATGCCCCATATTACGTATATTTTATCTTGATATCATGTTTTAACAGTTTAGAAGGAGTAAATTTCAAAGTTATAAATCAAACAAGTGAGCATGTTGAAATTTCATTTTCACGTACTTGGGAGATTTCTCAACGTGGCTCACTGGTCCCCTTAAATGTAGACAAACGGTACGTTAGTTTATATACATGTATTAATTTTTGTAATTTTGAGTAATTATTTCTGACGACTTTCAATTATAATCAAAATAACTATCTATAAAGATATATCATTCGAAGAGGGGTATCTGGAATATACATATACGCTGTGTTAGAGAAGTTAAAAGGTTGGCCAACTGTGGACATAGACCAAACCAGGATCGTCTTCAAGCTTAACCCAAAGTATATCTGAGTAACACATCTTTTGATCAATATGTTCTACAATTATTAATGGTGAAATTGTTTTGACTTGGACATAATATACTGTTTTTTTGTTGACTGATGACATAATATACTGTTTTATGAAACAATTTTTCAGATTTGATTTTATGGCTATATCTGATCTACGGCAGAAAATTATGCCTTCTGAAATTGATCGAGATATTACTATTAGGCGTGCTGATCCATTAGCTTATAAAGAAGCTGTTCGTTTGATAAATCCTCAAAATCGTATATTTAAAGGGCAGGTATAAAAACAAATCCAAATTTTCAAGATTTTTTTTATTCTTCTAAATTTGAAAGGATTATAATACTCTTCTAATATTAAATTTTAAATTTCATAAATAATTTGTTGATACATTTCTTGAATCTATTCGGATTGTGTAGCGTTAGATAAACAGAGTTCTCGTATATATATATATATATTTTGTGTGTTTGTAGCTCTAACTTCATAATATTATTATTTTTTTTTCATAATATTATTTTCTTTGTTCGTAAACGTAACCTAAACCACTTTAAATATTTGTTTCGTTCATTTTATCACATTTTCATTCTGATATTAGCAATAACATAATTTGTATACGAATCTTGAGTAGTTGTAAACAGTAAACCGGATATACATAACAATGCAGGGACAAAAGCATGCAGATAATTGTAACGTAATGATTGGTTTTGACGCAGGTCGACGATAAGTACATGTACTCAATGGAAAACAAAGACAACAAAGTACATGGCTGGATCTCGTCGGACCAAGGTGTCGGCTTCTGGATGATAACTCCCAGCGAGGAGTTCCGTGTCTGTGGGCCCGTCAAACAAGAACTAACTTCTCATGTTGGACCCATCACACTCTCCGTGAGTATATACATCACCTCTCAAATAAACCTTTTAGTTCTCTTGTTCGGTCTAAGAATATAGGGTTTCATTTTAGATGTTTACAAGTTTACATTACGTGGGGAAAGATATGAATACAACTTATACAAGCATGGAGCCGTGGAAGAAGGTGTATGGTCCTGTCTTTGTATATCTCAACTCTGCCTCTTCTCCTAATCGTCTCTGGACCGATGCTAAACGACAGGTCTATTTCAATTTATGATTGTGTTCATTGACAATGCATAATGATGTATTTAAGTGTTAAAAATTGTTATATGTAGATGGTTGCGGAGGTCCAGAGTTGGCCATATGATTTCGTGAAGTCAGAAGATTACCCTCTTCATCACCAAAGAGGAACAGTCAAAGGTCAATTCTTTGTAATGGACAGGTAGATACATGTCTTATTAATCTTCAAAATACTCGATAACAACAAATATACATTGAATTATAACATATAATGCATAATTGGTCTCAGTCAGTCGTTAAGTCTTTTTTTTTATCAACCCTTTTAAGTCTTTTATAAAATCTATAACTCCTAAATCATACAGCAAAATTTTGTTTTAAGTTACAGACTAAGTTGAACAGCAATTTTTGTATCTACAACTTAACCAATCATTCATATATTTTAGTGATTTGCATTTGTGTCATTATCATCTAGATCCAATCTGTACATATCAAGAATGTTATAGACAAACCTTAAACTGTGTTTATGAATTGTGTAGATACATAAGCAACTCAAAGTTATTTGGGAAATTTGCTTTTGTGGGTTTAGCAATGCCCGGTAAAGCTGGTTCATGGCAAACCGAAAACAAGGTACCAAATTTAGGTTTTTACTATATTGGCTACGTGCTATATGAAGTAGTTTAAACTTTGCTACGTCATTCTTCTATGACAGAATTATATTTTTGACTGTTCTTTTTAGTATAAACTATTTACACTTTTATTAAAATGTATTTACTTTTATAGTAACTAAGATAACGTTGGTATATACACGGTGTTTATACTTTGAATTAGTACACACTTTACACTGAAAGATCAAAATATTTTCTGAGTTTTTTTTTTTGCCGGGTCGATGAATCAGTATCTCTCAAACAAATTAAACCAATGGCTTATAGTAATAATTTTTTAAACAAATGTTGGACGAAGGGATATCAATTTTGGACAAGAGCAGACAGAATGGGGATGTTCACAATAACGAATGTGAGACCAGGGAATTATAGTCTCTATGCATGGGTTTCTGGGCATATTGGTGACTATAAATATGAGCATGACATTACCATCACACCAGGTAATTAACTTTATTTACTAAAATACAGAAAATGAACTATGCGTTTATTGCATCCAACCAGATAAGAGTATTCATATCTTCTGGTTTTTCTTTTCACAACAAAATATTAATTATTCATTTGAGGTTTGTGTAGGCAGGGAGATAGACGTAGGAGGCATAGTGTATGAGCCGCCCAGAACCGGTTCTACACTGTGGGAAATCGGAAAACCAGACCGGACTGCGGCAGAATTCTATATACCGAACCCGGATCCAACCCTATTGACCAAACTTCATCTTAATAACTCTTATGATCCTGATCAAGACCGGTAAAATAATTAAACACCCGATCGAATATTATTCACAGTGTATCCCGCTGAGATATTAAATGGTGGTCTATTTCATATATATAATAGATTTAGACAATATGGTCTATGGGATCGTTACACTGCTTTGTATCCTCGAAATGATCTTATTTATATTGTTGGAGTGAGTGACTATAAAAAAGACTGGTTCTATGCACATGTGACCAGGTAAACAATATTTTATTTTTATCTTTATAGTTTCAAAATGATGTGTGTATAATTCAGTTAAATATACTGATATAGTATATATCTATTTATAGGAATGCTGGGAATGGAACATATCAAGCAACGACATGGCAAATTGTGTTTGATTTAAAAGCAGTGACTAAAACTGGAAACTACACGTTTCGAATGGCTTTAGCTGCAGCCACGACTGCGAATTTATCCGTTCGGATCAACGGACCTACGTCCAAACCTATTTTCATGATTGGGCTAGTAGGGCGAGATAACGCGATCGCGAGACATGGAATTCATGGGTTATACAGATTGTATGATATTAATGTTGGTGGAAACTTGCTTAGGGTTGGTAATAATACAATTTTTCTTACTCAAGACCGAAAATGGGATTCGTTTACAGGTGTTATGTATGATTATCTTCGTTTAGAAAGTCCTCCGGGAACTTAATCTATATAATAAAACTGTGTTAGCGTTGATTTTTTTAGTCAAACTGATAAAATTGAATCAATCTTTCCGGCTAAACTAAACAGAAAATAATTCAAGCAAAAAACTGGACTAGTTATAGGAAATATGTGACGGGAAGAGGTAGCAGTTTGGTAAAGACCTTGTGAGCCAATTGTCATGCTCACGGGTTCGACCTCAGGTGGAGGAACTGCCAATTCTTGTCACTAAATGCAGTATTGGATGTTGGGCCTTGTCCTCAACCCAGATATAGCTCTCCCGGGTGAAGTGGACCGCTGTCTGACCAGGGCCAGAGGAATGATCTACGTAAGTGGGGAACCTCTGGATTATCAAAAAAAAAAAAAAAATGTAAACTTACCTACAGTTATCTTGAATTATTTTTAACAAAGGCTACATAAATTTAATGTGGTTTTCAATTGACTATACGTTAATAAGCAAATGGAAAAAAATTTCAATTGGAAACTAAAATGTATATTTTCATAAATAATCGAACATATATATAAGGAGTCGCATAAGATTCAAGGAAAATCATAAGAAGAAACGACTGGATTTTGATTCTTGATGGATAGTGCTCTAAGATGAAAGGATTATAATTTTACAAGTTGAAGAATATTACTAACGATGTTTTGAAACCCGCTCGGCAATGTTTTTAAACCCGACCCGAACACTGAACCGGACAACTTACCGGGTCATTGGGTCGACCGCGGGTTAACCGCGGATTAATAAATGAAACTTTATTATATAATAATATATTAGCTATGAAAATAAAAATATAGAAACTAAAGTTAAATATTTTGTAAATGTTTTTAAAACATAAAATGTATAAATATACAAAATATCAAAAACTAGTTTAGACTATTTAATTTTTTTATAACAAGTTAAGAGTAATGACATCTAAAAAATTAAGATATACAATTTATAAATATTTAATTGTCTAATGAGAATAATAAATTAAACTTCAAATCCAAAATAAACCAAAAGTAAAATATCATTGTAATAAATTATAAATAACAAAAATAAACTAACATCAAATCACATCAACTAATTTTGGTTTTCGCTATCACCCTTTAGTTCATTTTCTTCACGTAGTATAGTGAAATCTTCATCAAAATTTAAAAATCACAGATGAAATAGTGTACTAGGTATTATGTATGATAAAAAGTCAAAAAGTTTAATCTAAATTTAAAGAAGAAGGCGGCAATACTAATAACTAAAACGTGAAAACCTAACTTTTAAATTAGAAATTTAGAATATAAAACAGAATAAAAACATAAGTTAAAACTAAAAATAAAATAAAAGTGTATTTAATCGTTCGACCAGTGGTTCAACCGACATCGGGTTTTGGGTTTTAGTGGGTTTTTGCGGGTTTTTACGGGTTTTTAAATTTTGGGTTTTTAACAAAACCCGAACCGGATTAATTTTGGGTCACCGAGTTTACTGGTTCAACCGCGGGTCCGGGTCGGGTTTCAAAAGACACTGAACAACTTCTCGGATCACTAGATCGATCACAAATGAACCGCAGATTAATAAATTTTATTATATAATAATATATCAACTATGAAAATAAAAGTATTGAACCTAAAATTAAGTATTTCCTAATTTTTTTGAAAACATTAAATAATAGTTTGAAAATGTATATATTTTCTGTCTTAAAAGTATTTAGAAAATATTTGATTTTAGTTTCTATGTTTTTATTTTCACTTGACATAAAAAATCTCAAAATAGTTTAAATTATTTATCTTTTGTAACAAGTTAAGAACTTAAGAATTATAACATCTAAGAAAAAATATTAAGATTTAAAACCAATATTTTGAAACCCAACCCAAACACTGAACTGAACGATTTCTTGTGTCACTGAATCATTGGATCGATCACAAATTAAAAAATTAATTAATTTTACTATATAATAATATATCAGATATGAAAATAAAAATATGGAACCTAAATTTAAATATTTCCTAAATATTTATAAAATATAAAAGAATAGTTTGGAAATGTATATATTTTATGTTTTAAAAACCATTTCAGAAATACTTAACTTTAATTTCTATATTTTTATTTTCACTTGACATAAAAAATATCAAAATAGCTCAACAAAAAAAATCTTCTTTTGGTGGCATAATAAATTTTTATCAAAATCTAAAAATCAAAAATAATGTATTAATATTATATATGATAAAAATAAGAAATTTTAATCAAAACGTAAATAAAAACTAAAATAAAAAAGTAAAAATTATTTATTGGTTCAACCGGTAATCAGATTTCGAATTTAGTGATTATTTATGTGTGTATTGGGTTTTAAATATTGATTTTTTCAGAAAACTTGAATCAGATTTATCTTGGATTACTAGGTTTACTAGTTCAACAGCGAATCCGGAGTCATTCAAACCCTATTACCATTGAGTTCTCGAAAAACATTTCATTTTGTGAAGACAATAAAAAATGAATCAGAGCTATGGGCCAATAGCCCAATATCGAGGGGAAAGACATAAGCTTAGACCCATAATTTGCAACGTATCGAAGCTCGTTTAGACAAAACTAATGAATTCAGTTACGTCCTAACATCATCGGAACTCGACACTCTAATTCACTCTCGGCGACGATGGCATAAACCCTAGTCTGCGACCTCTTTTCCCTCAAGCATTCAAATCTCTGTAAGTTCTCAGTTTCCACGCTCAATGTTTATTGATTCTCAGTTCTCAGATTCTGCGTTTGATCAAAACACAAAAAAAAAACACTCTGAAACTTTTTAGCCAATAAGAACATGTGTGTTTTGTCAAATCACTTACACAAGCCTCATCATGTCTTCATCCAGGTCGCAAACTCTTTAATCTATCTCCAAATGAATCCCAAAAAGATGGACACTGGCTCCAAAGACTTAATCAGCAGTCTCCCAGACGCACTTATCTGCCACATCTTATCCTTCCTCTCCACAAAGGACGCAGCTTTAACCTCAGTCCTCTCTCAAAGATGGAGAAATCTGCTAGCTTTTGTACCGAATCTCGATCTTGACAACACCATCTACGACCGTCCTAAAATGGGCCGAAAGAGAAGGCGCCATTTGCGCAAAAGCTTCAAGCTTTTTGTGGAAAGAGTCATGGCCTTGCAAGGAAACGCTCCATTGAACAAATTCTCTCTAAGGTGTAAAATCGCTTGTGTTACATCTCCTGTCAACCGTTGGGTACTTAATGCGTTGGAGCGTGGTGTGGTTGATCTTGATCTGTACATCTCTTCCGAACACGAGTATCCTTTACCTCCACAGGTTTTGATGAGCAAGACGTTGGTTAGGCTTAAAGTAGCTGGTACTGATGAGTTCATCATCGATGTCAAAGAAGTTTCTCTTCCGAAGCTCAAGACTTTGCATATGAATGATGTTTCTTTCGCTGACGAGAGTGGTGCTGCGTTTGGGAAGCTAGTTTCTGGTTGTCACGCGCTTGAGGAGTTGGTTATGGTTAAAATGTATTGGGACTTTGGTGGCTCCTGTTCTGTCTCAAACCCAACTCTCAAGAGACTAACCATCCGTACTCCAAACATTGATGAGATTCCAGAGAGTGTATCTTTCGACACTCCTAATCTCGTCTACTTAGATTTTACTGATGTTGTTGCGGCCAAGTATCCTAAAGTGAAGCTTGATTCGCTTGTTGAAGCTAGTGTAGGCATTAAAATGACACCTAACCAGGTCTTTCGCGGAAGAGATTTAGTAAACCGACATTACGGTTATAAGTTAAGCAAGGTGGTAAATGCAACAGATTTTATCATGGGAATAAGTAATGTTAAGATCCTTTACCTTTCTTCTCAGGCTCTTGAGGTTAGCATATCAATCAATCACATCTATATGTTCCTAGTTTCTTTGCTCTAAATTTTAAAGAGAAACCATATATATATACACTTGTTTTGGTTTGCTAACTTGTAAGAATTATAGTTGTGATTAATGTTCCTGTTACTTGTTGTTGTTGTTTCAGGCCCTTACTTTCTGCTGCAAAGCAATACCAGTCTTCAACAACCTGATTCATTTAACAATTGAGACTGACCAAGACGTGGATTGGGAATCATTGCCGAACCTACTCAAGAACTGTCCAAATCTAGAAACTCTTGTTTTTGAAGTACTATCACAAATCCTTTCTTAAATTTTTTTTTTTTTTCTAAAACACTTTAAGCTCTGAAGAATTAACATTTCCTTTATTGTACTTCAGGGACTCCATTACGGAGACACAAATCAATGTTTTGATGTTGGATACCGTTTCAAAGATACAAACGAATGTTTTGTGACGGGTGCGGACAGGTGTGTATGCAAACCATGGGATGGCATTCCTGTTTGGCTATCATCAAGCCCTGTGAAGAAGCTGAAGGTATTGAAGTTTGGAGAGGTCACTTATTATAAGGATGACATGGATAAACAGACGGATCTGATGAACTACTTTGTGGAAACCATGCCGAATCTTGAAGAAGTTGTGTTATACTATGATACTCCGTTTGACAGTGATCTGGAAATAATATCACACGGATTTCAGATGCTTGAGAAAGTAGCCTCAACCAAATGCAATATCCAAGTAATCTCTGATACCATTAGCTTCTCAACTACTGTGTACTCTTCTGCTTCATCGACAAGTGGGCTCGTCTTCTTCAAGAACACCTTCCCGGTTTGAAGATAATCCTTGCTACATTTGTCGGAGAAGATTAGCAAAAGCGCTCTTTCAGCTTCTCCATAAGTACTTTCTTGTTATTCATGTCTTTGTAAAGTTTGCTACACTAAAAAAAAAAGAAAAAAAAAGTTTGCTATACTCTTAAGGAAGTAAGGAACCTTATCTGTTATGTTTGTTGTTCAAAAAGACCTCAGCATTATGTTTTGTTTTTCTCCATCAGTACTGTTTCAGCTTCTCATAGTATGCGTTCTACTCTAATCACATTGGTCACTGATACGGTGTCGTTTCCGAGCGGTGCGTGCTCCAACCACCACTTATACGACACCATTTGACATTGGAAACCACCCATCCCGCCATTGCTGCTATCTCTCATTAGAAAGCAATAGACAACAAAAAAACCCTACTTTTTCTGTTCAAGTTCGTCTCTCCACATATCTGGCGATTTTGATGGTCCTCAAGTAAGTTTCTTCTTCTTACAAGATTGTGTAAAAAAGACAAGACTTTGGAACTGTTTTGCAGCTTGAGAATGTCTTAATTTGATATTTTGTTCTTGTAATTGCTTAGGTTGTAAGTTGTGTTCGAAACAAACAATGGATTTTGTCGCAAGAGATATGTTCAGCAGTCTGCCAGATCCTCTGATCTCCCACATCTTGTCTTTCCTTCCGACAAAAGAAGCAGCTTCCACATCTGTTCTCTCTAAAAGGTGGCGTTTTTTGTTTGCTTCTGTAACAAATCTTGATTTTAAAAGCAGTGCCAACAGTTCAAGTTTCATGGAGTTTGTGGATATGTTGCTGGCTTTGCAAGGTGAATGCTCCATTAAACAGATTCTCTCTGAACTTAACTGATTATCCTGATCCAGTTCTTGTCACTGTTTGGATATTACATGTGTTGGGACGCGGTGGTGTTGTGGATCTTGTTCTACACCTGCTCTCGGAGTATCCCTTGCCTCCTGAGATCTTTCTTAGCAAGACACTGGTTAGGCTGAAACTAGGAGGGGGATATGGTGTCACTTTCAGCACTGACGTTGAAAGTGTGTTTCTTCCAAAGCTTAAGACTCTTGATCTTGATTCCGTTTTCTTTGAAGAAGGAGGTGTTGGGTTTGCGAAGCTTCTTTCTGGCTGTCCTGTGCTTGAGGAATTAGTACTCGTGAATATGGGGTGGGATGACTGGGAGTTTTTCTCTGTGTCTGTCGCAAGCCTCAAGAAGCTAACGCTTTTCTTGGATGACTTTGGTGAGAACCCAAAGAGTGTCTCGTTTGATACTCCAAACCTTAAGTATTTAGAATATACTAACAATATTGCCAGGAAGTATCCAAGAGTTAGTTTCAGTTCTCTTGTTGAAGCTCATATTGGTCTTCGACTCACAGGATATCAAAGTGCAGATGCAAACTTTTCAGAAGAAGAGCTCTGGTACTCTGAAGGCTATGATGAGGAGAAAGTGATGGTTGGTAATGCAACAAATTTTCTTTTGGATTATGCAATGTTCAGATCTTATATCTATCTGCCAAAGCACTTGAGGTTTGTATATCAACCCCCATCGTTATGTCAAATAACTTTGTTTTTAGTGTAACATTATGGTTATAATGGCTTCAGCTTAGTGATCACAAGTGAGTTGATTTGTTGTTTCAGGTACTTATTTTCTGCTGTGAAGCTACACTGGTATTTAACAACTTGATTCAGTTAACGATTGAGAGTAACTCGAAACTTGGATGGGATTCATTGCCACCTCTTCTACAAAGTTGTCCTAATCTAAAAACTCTTATATTCAAGGTAAAAGCATCTTGATTTCACATTAAAAGGTTACACAAACCTTAACCTTTGAAATCCATTGTTTTCATTCTTTTGGTTAGTATCAACTTTGAATTTGAGACCTTCCTTAATACTTTCTACAGGGTCTTGTCCACAAACGGACCGATGGATGTGGGAACATGTGCCCTTGCAAACCTCTGAAGAATCCTTCTTGCCTTTCAAAAGATAATTCTGTCTGAACACATTGATGATGAGGGGATGGAGATGGGGCAGATAAAGCATTTCTTGGAGAATATGCCACGGCTTGAACAGTTTGTAGTTTACATCAACAGATCATATGACTCTTCTGTGTTTGCTCTATCCAAGAATCTTCAGAGTATTCCTAGAATAGCTTCACCAAAGTGCAATATCCAAGTTATCTCACCGAATCTTAACTTGTCCTCTACTTTGCCTTCTACCTTATAGAGGAAATGGTCTGCTCCTCCAAATAAAGAATACTTCTGGTTTCTCAAGGCTTTGATCCAAACTCCAAGCAAATAAGATATCCATTGTTTACGTCGTTTGTACTCTGCTCAGCATCTTAGTTTATTGACTGGTGTGTTATGCTTTTGTTGTACTTTTTGAAATTCTGAAGATGCTAAGTTTGTGTTGTGTCAAATCACACATGTTGTTTCTGAACTTATTATTTGAGTTCTTAAAAGCTTTTATAAGCTTTTTATTTTGAAAAGTTCCATCGTACAAAACGTTTGAAAGTGACTTCTCATAGCCGACCAAATAATTTACATATTATCTTAAGTTTGTGAAGGAAACAAAAACAAATGTCCTTTTACAAGTTTGTGAATATAATATTCATTTCTAGTCTTGGTCATGGTTTGCTTCTTCCATTATTACTGTTTACAAGATCCAGAAGTTCTGCAAAATCAAATTCTAATCCTCTTTCCTCTTCCACTACCTTGATGAACCTCCTCTGTTTGATTGCACTTGTAAGGTGAATCTTCTTTTACACTTAGCCCAAGTAAGTTTTCTAATCTCTGCTTTTGATCTTGTGGTTCCTATAGGATCTGGTTTAGTTTTGTAGTTACTGAGAGACCTTGAAACTTAACTAGTTTGGAATATATTGTTTAGGTTTGTATGTGTTGATCTGTCTACAAAAAGACATGGATGCTTGTTCTGAAGATGTGATCAACTGTTTACCAGACAATCTCCTTTGCCAAATCTTGTCCAACTTGTCTACAAAAGAAGCTGCGTTGACTTCACTTCTCTCAAAAAGATGGCGGTATCTGTTTGCTCTTGTGCCAAACCTTGATTTCGACAGCTTTTCCTCTCTACATCAGGATCATACGAGTTTTATAGATTTTGTGGATAGAGTGTTGAAGTTACGAGGAGAAGATCGTGTTAACAGGTTCACTCTAAAATGTGGAGATGGTTTTGAGGATGAAGACGTGTATCCTTGGATATCAAACGTGCTGAGACATGGTGTATCAGATCTTTCTCTACACGTCTCTTCCTCATTGGTTTATTGGTTGCCTTCAAAGGTTTTTGCGAGTAAGACACTGGTTAGGCTGAAGATAGGACCTGAAAATGGTCCTAAAGTTAAACTGAAAAATGTTTGTCTTCCAAGGCTCAAGACTCTGATTCTAGACTCAGTTGTGTTTGGAGAGGGTGAGATTGGTTTTGCAAAGCTTCTATCTGGTTGTCCTGTGCTTGAGGAACTAAGTTTGTGTAATCTTGAGTGGGGTTATTGGGGTTCTTGCTCTGTGGCTTCTAAAATCCTCAAGAGACTAACGCTATGTTGTGCAGACTGTGATGAAAATCCAAAGAGGGTTTCATTTGATACTCCAAACGTTGTTTACTTCAAATATTCTGATAATATTGCGCAGAAGTATCCAAAGCTGAACTTTGATTCGCTGGTTAATGCTAGTATCGATATTCGGATGACAAATGATCAGAAAGCAAATGTCAGATATGTAACTGATCATGATGAGGAAAGAGAGATCATTGGTAATGCAACAGAGCTTCTTATGGGCATATGCAATGTGAAGATCCTTTACTTATCTTATGACACCCTTGAGGTATGTGAGTCTTAACATTATTCTAGGCTTTTAGGTAGTGATTGGGAATGAACTTATTGATTTTTGTTTCGTTTTAGACACTTAATTTTTGCTGTGAAGCAACACCGGTGTTCAACAACTTGACTCATCTAACTATTGAGAGTAATCAAGAAGTAGGATGGGAATCATTGCCAAACCTTCTCAAGAACTGTCCAAACCTTGAAACTCTTGTCTTCCAAGTAAGTGAACTAAACCCTTGAAAATGAATCTCTTGGCTCCTTTTACATCAAAGCCTTTTTTTGTAAACCATTTTTATTGAAGTTTGAGATGTTTCTTTTATGTTTTAGGGACTCATTCACAAAGCGACGGATAAATGCGGGGATGTGTGCTTGTGCAAAGGTTTGCAGAAAAGCTCTTCTTCCCTATCACATTGTCCGGTGAAGTTTCTTAGGATATTGAAATCTGGTGAAGCCTGTGATGGTGATGACGATATGAACATAGAGATGGAAATAATCAAGCATTTCTTAGAGAAGATGTTGAATCTTGAACAGATCATAATATACTACAATACATCAATCAAAGATGATCTGATTGAAGTATCAAGACAACTACAGATGCTTCCTCAAGTAGCTTCATCCAAGTGCAAGATCCAAGTAATCTCTGATAGCCTCGGCTCATCACTTATGGCGCCATGCCTCCTTTACCAGTAGGAACCTATGGATATCTCTCTTGGAAACAAGTCTATGTAGTTACTAAAAGAATCTAAAAACTCAAAATCAAGATTCTCTTGATTCTACTTTGTTGATTGCATAATAATAACAAATGCTATGTTTCAGAAAGTTTATTATTATGAGTGAATGGAAAATCAGCCACTCAAACTAAGAACCAAAACAAGCAAAAGATAATCCAGCAGTCTCAATCAAAAGCACAAATCATCAAAGTCACAAAAAAAAACTTGAAAGCAAAAGACATGAAGAAGAGGAGAGAATCTTGTTTTAGCTGAGGTTACCAAAGATGACTTGAATCTCACAACTTGGTGAAGCTTTTGTAGGAAAGCTCTTAAGTTCACTTGACAATTCAATCACAGCATCATTAGACAATGTATCGTAGTATACTATCAGTTGTTTAAGTCGCGGCATTGTCTCTAGGAAGTGCTTGATCAGCTCTCTCTCTTTCTGTTCGCCAGATTCACCAAATTTCGTAATCTTTAAAATTTTCACTGGACTTGATGATAAGCAAGTAGGTATCACCCCTGAAAACATGCATAGGCACCCATCAACTTCCCAACATTTGATTGTATATATGTGACCGAGTCCCTGAATCATAGTAGAAACACAACTTAACAACCTAGTTTTGTCTGTGTTAAAAGATAGCAAAAAAGAGATATAATAAGTGTTGTTACTTCAAACACCAAGGTTTCAAGATTTGGACATTTCTGGAGTAAAGTCGGTAATGATTCCCATCTAGATATGATGCCTGTCTGAATAGTTAAATCAATCATGTTGTGGAACACAGGTATATGATCACAGCATAAATTTAAAACCTGAAAACAAAAATGTATCCTCTCATCAACAATATACAAATCACTAACTCAAAAGTTATTAATGTTCCAATACTAAATACCTCAAGAGTGGTGGCAGATATGTAAAGGGTCTGAACATTGCGTATTCCCATGAGAAAATCTGACACATCACCGACCAAATGTCCATAGCTTGCTTGTGCATGCTGCTCACTTGTCATTGCAAGGTAGACTCTAGCTTTAACAAGTGAGTTGAACTTCACCTTTGGATACTTGACTGAAACATAATCACAGTAGTGCAAGTAGACAACATTTGGTGTATCAAATGAAACACTATTTGGATTTTTATCATAGTCGATACAAGCTGATAGGACCAGTCTCTTGAGGGTTTTGGAAGACACAGAACGGTTCCTAAAATCAGAGTCGACATTAATCAAAACTAACTCTTCAAGGACATGACAACCAGAAGTAACCTTCTCAAAACAATCACCACCTTGACCTAACATGACTTCGCTGATGTGAAGAGTCTTAAGCTTTGGAAGAAACACATCTTCCATATCAATGGCTATAACACTTTCAGATATGATCCCCAGCCTAACCAGTGATTTGCTCATAAACACCTCTGAAGGGAGACAAACCCCAACCATGTTAAAGTGTAAATAAAGATCTGACACTCTACGTTCCAACACATTTGATACCCAGTTTGTGACACAGACCGGATCAACACCATGCACACACTTTAAAGAGAACTCGTTTACAGTAGAGTTCCCTTGCAGCGCCAACACTCTGTCCACAAAATCAGTAAAAACTCTAAGAATCTTAGCCTCTTCCCATTCACACGTACCAGGTTCAAAACGTGTGACCGAGCCGTCGAAGTCAAGGTTTGGTCTGTCAGCAAACAGGTACCGCCATTTTTTGGAGAGAATTGAAGTCAAGGCAGACTCTTTTGTGGGGAGGAATGATAATATGTGGCTAATCAGAGCTTCTGGTAGATCGCTGATTCTATCCATCTTCTTCTTAATTTAAACACATAGTGATAGATCTTGAATGAGTTATATAAACTGTGTATCAGAAAAAGCAAATTGCTAGAGAATCCTTTTCATAATGAATTATGATTATGGATACGTTAACATTAAGAGAATATTTGATTCCATTTATGACAAATTGAATTACAAACAAGCCATTATGGTAACAATAATCCTTAGACATTATTATTTAACAAGTCATTTTGCCATGTGTCATTTTCACAGTCAATTTCACTAAAAAAAAAAGTAACATAACATAATAGAAAAGATAACATAGCTTAAAAAAAATGTGTCATGAACAATTATATTTGTTGATTTCTATTTATGATAAGCTTTTTAAAATATGTTAATAGCTCATATAATAATCAAAATAAATATATTTAAATATAACATCAAATAATATAATCATAGAAATACATTTTTTAAAAATTTCAAATTATTATTTTAGTATATGCTTATAATTATACTATTTTATAACTAAACAAGAGTTTCAAAATTTTGTATAATCTTTTTAAGAAGTTATAAATTTTGAATCAATACCATTTGTTTTTTTATATCTACAAGTAAATATTAATGATTGATTGCTTCCATATATGACAAATTGCATTACAAACAAGCGGAACAAGACATGTTTCATAATCAGATTTTCATCAAAGAGATGATTACATGGTATAATATAAATGATGACATATCTTATATTAAATATGATATGAACAACTACAATTAATATTGATTTCTATTTTATTTATTTTTTTAAAATAGATAATAAATCATATATAATTATATTTAAATATAACTTTAAATAATATAATAATTAAAATATACTTTTTACAAATTTAAAAATATGATTTTAGTATATTTTTATAATTATACTATTTTTATTACTAAACAAGATTTTCAAAACTTTATATAATCTTCTTAAAAAGTTATAAATTTTTAATCAAAGCCATTTGTTGTTTATATCTATAAGTTTAAAAAATTCTATTTAATTTTATTTTTTGATAGCTATACAATTTATATCATTTTCTAATTTTATACGAGTTACTTTAAGATCTTAATCCAGAAATCTGTCTAAAGTTATAATTTTAAATATATATATATATATATATATATATATATATATATATATATATATATATATATATATATATTCTTAAATATAAATTAAATTACTATTTTGTCTTATTTTCTGTTTAACTAAATTACATCTATATTAAAATATTTATATAAAACAAAAAAAATGATGACAATATTAATATTTAAAGTATTAATAAGTTTTTATTTTAAATATAATTTAAATTAAAAATGTATTCTCTACTTAGTACATGAAAATACCTAGTCATATACAAGTATAAAATGCTTTCAATAGCTTTTAGTTTTCGAGAATTTCAAAATTATTTTCTTTTTTTAGAATTTGGTGGTGAGATTTGATATCAATATTGGTTGATTCTCTGCATTTATAACGCATGGATGATAAAGAAATACGCATGACACATAAATATAATCAAATCCTCCATTAGAAAAGCTTATCTTCTATATAATAAAAGAGAATCGTTTCAACATATTAGCTATGATATGTTTCTTCACTAAAATCATTCTCAAAATTTCTAGAGTGAAATATTGGTTCAGATCAACATATAATATAATTTTAATTACAATAACCATAAAAATTATTATTAATCTCATTCATTTTTCCTTTAAAAAACTACGGAATTACTTTATGTGGTTAAAATATATATATGACAATAATAATTTGAATAAAAAAGATTTGCTAGAAACTTGTGTGACTTCTATTCTTTTTTGTTAAATTTATATTATAAAAATAAATTGAACAATCACATTATCTATATAATAAAAATAGATTATTTCGCATATGCTATATTTTAAATTAAAAATGATTATAAATTAATAAAAAATTTAAAAATTTCACATAGAATATTTTTTGATTAATAGTTTTTTTTATGACAAGTTACGTACGATTATAAAATTAATGAGTAAGCGTACCAATTAATAGATATTCAGACATGATATATATATATATATATATATATATATATATATATATATATATATTGACCTTTAAATTAACCTATATACCATTAAATACATAAATATTTTAACTTCAACAAGTATTGAAAATTCAATACTTCAATTTTCAAACCTTGAATTGATATTTTAAAAATAATTATGAATTACTATAAATATTAAATGTCTCACATTGAAAATTATGTTATCAATTATTTAAAAATTTGTTATAAAAATATACAAATGATCATAAACCATATAAGAATGAAACTTTATTTAATAGATAGTCAAATTAAAAATCTACTATATATATATTCTTTATTTTTTAGGTTTACTTATATAAAGTGATTGTAAATAAACAAATGTATTTTTTATTTATGTGTTCACGCTAATTTAATTATATACATAATAATTAATATTTTATCATTTATTCAATATATATATATATATAGTTTTATAATAAATTAAAATACAAAATAAATAATAATACATAAAATAATTCATATATATACTTCTGGTCTTAACCTAGTTGTTATTATAAATTTTGGAAATGGTGCAAAGAGAGATACATAAGATATATACATTAACATAGTTTTCACCATCATCATAATCATCAGATCATTGCGTCAGGTCATTAAGAAGATATCTTCAGATCTTAAGAATGAAGGTGATTGTGCTATTGTTAGAAAAAGCATCACCAAGTGATTTTTTGTTTTCTATTTCTTCATTTTCTCAGGAAAAAAAAAACTGGCTTGCTTGACCTTCAGGTTTCATTTATCTAATCTTATTGGGTTAACATTCAGGATTGACCATGAGTTATTGGACCCATTTGTATCACTAGTAGAAGTTTCCGGTAATTTTATTTTGCTTCTCCAATATTAATGTTACTTATAAAGGATAATCTAATTAGCCAGTATATAATTCTTGATCAGTTTCACCTCCTGGTGGATTCAGAGATCATCCTCATAGAGGTCAAATCACTTGGCCATTCTTATATATGTATACACAGAGCTTTCTCTGATGTAATTGGATCAACTCTGTGCAGGTTTTGAAAGTGTTACATACATGCTATAGGTGACAAAGACTCAGCCATCTTCTCCATATATATCAGATTCTTGAGTCTTGATGTGAATATTTATCATGCTTTTAGTGATATGCAAGGATGAATCATATATCAAGACATCAATAGTCATAAGGGTACAATCCATGCAGGAGATGTTCAGGTGAAGACAATTGGATCCTCCTTTAAGCTTAATTTTCTGGTTTCATCCGTTTGAGTCTGCTTTTATTACAGTGGATGA